CTCTTTGGTCTTGGCCATGGTGAAGAGTTTGGAATCTGGATTGATTGATTGCTTCTGTGGACAGGTCTCTTTTATACAGGTAACGAGCTGAGAGGGCTCCCAATGTCAGCTCGTTACCTGTATAAAATACACCTGGGAGCCAGAGATCTTGCTGACTGATAGGGGATCAAATACTTATTTCATTCATGAAAATGCAAATTAATGTACAACTTTTTTTGTAATGCATTTTTCTGGATTTTTTTGTTATGTTTGTGTCTCTCACTGTTCAAATAAACCTACCATTGAAATTATAGCTGGCCTGTTTAAATTATATTGAGACTAAAAGTTACACATGATTAAGGTGTGGCCTCTTTGAGTGACAGGTGGGAGAGTCCCACCATCGGTGGCTGGCCGTTAGCTGTCCAGAGACTTGAGCTTCAAAACCACTTTTCAGTAAATCAATGGGTGATGTCACACTGGGTTTGTCCAGTTTGTTTTTATATACAGGCAGGGATTTTCACTGGGTGTTCAAAACACTCCCACTGCAGTGGGAATGTAGCTCACAATGCTTTGTTCTCATTGCCTGTCATCTTTACCTCACAGGCTTGCCTGGTGGCATCAAGACCGACAGGTTTGATAGCCTTTTGATGTAGACCTCCATTAAGCTGCTAGTTGAGATGATTGCACAGTTAAAGTATGACATACATCTGCAGGCTAGGTGCACTGTGCATGCTAGTGTGTGCTGTGGTTATGCTTTAGCTGTGCAAATACGTGCTCCCACACAGCTATAGTTTTATACAGTGGCTGAAGGAAGTATTCAAACCCCTTTACCTTTGCACACACTATTGTATACTGTTAAGTTCCAGATATTACTTTCTGAAACCGCTGTACCGTCTTACCTGGTGGCCCAGAGCCGCTGTCACTGTAGTGTCCCAATGAAATCCCTCGTAATGTGTGCCATGATCATAATATATCAAAGATATTCAGATAGATAAATAGCTAGGCTCTTTTAGTTTGGCTGAGCAGTAAGAAAAATGTTTTCAATCCATGAAACTCAATGTTAGAATTTTAAACTTGGTATAATAATGGGCATTTCTTACTGCTCAAGAGTTTGTCCTCAGCTGTAGGTTCTGTAGATGTTTATAAAACCTACCCACATGTAAGTTAATAGTCAGATCCCTTCAGTTGTTGAGTAATTTCCTTCATCTTTCCAATTCCTTCAGCATCGTGATGGCTGGCTCATCCCGTTTTTCTGCTACCAGCTGTTTGACTTTGCTCTGAGCTGCCTGGTGGCCATCAGTTCTCTCACCTACCTGCCCAGGATCAAGGATTACCTGGACCAGCTGGTCAGTCCCAACAATCCAGCAGCCTACTTTTCAATAACATAAATGCTGAAACTTTGTCCTGTGGTTAACAGAATGTAGTTTTATAACTAAGGTTCTTTTCATTTTTTTGTGTGTAGAGGTTAAACGTTATCTGATTTTAAGGTAACTCTTGTATTTCTTCACATTAACAAGTTGTTTCCTGTTACAGTGCATTGTTATTTGTGTTCATAGAAAGTGAAGGGCAGTTGTCAGGCCAATATCCCTCACAGTCAGTAGTCAGACTACAGACTATTTGAATCACAAGTGCTGTTTTTGCATTATATTTGTGCAGGATTTTTTAAAATTTTAATAGAAATGTTTAAATGACCCAGTAATTCTTTTCTTAATAAATACTAAAAGAATCCCACCTATAATGTTTTACTGACGCAACAGCCCCAAGACTTATGAGTTTTTTTTTTTCTTATTGATCATTGCGTAGTGCTAATGGTGTTGGAAGGTGAATAAGTAAAAAAAAAAAAAAAAAAAAAAGGGTTTTATTGATTATCTGCCATTGTCCGTTCTTTTCTCCCTCAGCCGGATTTCCCATACAAGGATAACCTCCTCTCTCTGGACTCAAGCTGTCTGCTGCTGTTTGTGCTTGTTTTCTTTGCCTTCCTCATCATCCTCAAGGTGAAATAATTTTTGCGTCGTAGTTAAAATTTTTTATTCAGCGTGCAAACTAATATAAGCCAAAATCTAAAAACATTGATACTTCCCTGTATGTGGATTTAATGAAGTGGTGAGGTCAAAACGTGTTCTTCTGATGTTTTTAATTCATATAAACAAGACAGTGTGGTTTAACAGGCTCAGAGACTGAAGCCGTTTACTGTTTAGTCACATGGTGTGATTAATCATACAATTACAAATGCAGTCATTGCTCTGCTTTCCAGGCGTACTTGATCAACTGTGTGTGGAACTGCTATAAGTACATCAACAATAGGAACATGCCAGAGATTGCTGTGTATCCTGCCTTTGAGACCCCTCCCCAGGTACGCAAGCCACCTGAGACACTGATTGAGGTAATGAATTTTATAAGCAGACTCTACTAACACAAAATATCCAAACTGTCAGAGCTGAAAGAGACCAGGTAATCAGAAAATGTATTTACCTAAACTGTAGGGCTGAGCAATTAGTTGTAATTTAATTTCTACTATGATTTTGTCTCCCAAACCAATGTTAAGATAAAAAAAAAAATTTAAGTTCACTTAATTCATGATGTTTCCAAAGTCGGTGAGTAATCATGTTATCCTGATCAAAATAATCGTCATTATGATTTTTGCCATAATTGTGACGCTCTACTATAACCTCTGCACTGCAAATCATGTATACATACAGCAGGTCAATAAGCAGACTTTTTTCTTTTTTACCTCCCTGGCCTTATTTTGGAATAGTTTGTCATGTCCTATCTGTATTGTTGATACATACATACATGATATTGCTGATATAACCCAGTTTCTTCACTGTGTCAGTCAGCTATTATACAGTGTAATGATTGATTAAAGCCAGGAGGTGGCATGGTCTCAACACAAACAGGCCCAAAGCTCAGTATCTGCTTATGATGGCTTTTTAGGTATTTTAGAAGTTTAAACCTTTCACAAGTTGTCACGTGTGTCAGAATTCTGTGCTTTTGCTGCAAGCTGAGATTCTTTGTTGTTGTTTACAGTAAAGGGTCTTGTGCAAGGACAACTCAGAATATTCTTTCTAACGGGATGAGGTGTAGAAGGGTGGCTGATGATCTTCCTCATTTAAAGTGCAAATTAATATCAAGCATTCAAATGTGGGTTCTTCTGCTCTGTCTATAAAAAAATCTGTTTGTCTTTTGTCTTTTTCTAGTATATCCTGCCTACTTACGAGATGGCAATGAAGATGCCAGAGAAGGAACCACCTCCCCCTTACATGCCCGCTTAAGCACCAGCCCTGTTGCCAAATCACACCCACACACGACCATCATATGCATTCCTACATTCCCTTACTAACCTCTTCCCAGCATCCTTACATCCTTATCCTCTCCCCTGACCTACTGTGTATGTGTAAGGCCACTGAAAATGTTTTTTCAAACCCTACCCGCTGTATTTCTATAGTGTTTATAGAAGTGTGAGAGGGAAAAGATTGAAATCTGTGTGAAATGAATGAATGAATGTGATATTTGAAAAGCAATGGAAGCTAACAGCACACATTTCCTCTGGCCTTTTTATGTCTTAGTGGAATGAATACATGTGAAACTTAAATGCTTGAAATGCTCTCTTCAGTCCAGCATCATCCTGTCTATAGATTGATATATGAAGTATAAAAAAAAGTTAAGACAATCTGTCACTTATTATAATGATTACTGTTTAACTGTGTTGCTTTTTCCTTAATTATTAAGATCTAGACTACTCCATCTCAGCCGTGAGTGGAGTCTGTAGCACTTTTTTGTCCGTTATTTATTTAGCTTTGCTGTGGTTCAGTTCATTGGCGCCGCCCTTGACATTTTCATCATTCTCCAATGCTCTGATGTGTTACCAATGTTAGTGAATATTTTTCCAGCTGAGATTAAGCGAGGGGAAGCAGAAGGCACTGATCACAGGTCATTTTCTCTGCTGCTTATTTTCCACCTGACATCTGGAGAAAACGACTAGTCTTGTGAACATTAGTAGTTGCATGCTTATCTGCCCCCCTGTTACTTTACTGGTAATATGATTTTTGTCCTAGTGGAAAAACATTTGACTTCAATAAATGAACATTTAAATCTTCACTTGTCTCTACTGTTCATGTGGAAATTTTAAGAGAGGGATTAATAACAAAGGGCTGTATTCGATGTTGTGTTGTCTCCTACTTGTATTATATCACGATGTTTATTAGCATATTTTGCACAGTTGTCATAAAAATTGTTTTTTTAACTATACCTTTTTGTTATGCCACTTCAGAGACTTAATTCATGTTGACTGAGAAGTGTATGTTGTGATGCTATGTGAACTTTGAGGTCATCGAAAAGCCTGATTTTTTTACCTCAAGACTTGTAGTGAATCAAAAGCTAATCAGATTTGGCTTCCACTGCATGGGCCTGTGCAATCGCTTGTGCAAGTTGATTAATGATCTCTATCACAAACACCTCTGTGCTTTTGAAGGGTGAAATGCATAAAGGAGATGTACCATTAGTTTGGATTAACTGATATCAAACTCCTGCAAACTTCGCATATGACTACATATTATTTGAGCTGCTTTATAGCTATAACCGTCCTCGTGTCTCACCTCTGGATTGGACAGACAGTATGACATGTTGCACTCAGAGCCCCCTCCTGTGGAGGTGGTCAGACCCCAGCTGAGCTGAGCAGGACTCAGAACCAGAGAGGAAACCACAGACAGACTACCGGAGGACGCTGCACACTCGCATGATGAAGTCTTTACTCTGGAGCCTCTGGTACTGCACTTCACTGCTGCTGTCTGATGTTCTTGCCACATATCACCTCAGTGCAGGAGATCCTCAGGTGAGAGCTGCACAAAGCTATGCACAAACCAGAAATAATAGCCGACCACCACCCAGGACCCTGAATCCATCAAGTGAGTTTGTCTGAATCCTCTATGTTAAAATAGTTACTTTATCTGAAAGACAGTTTAAAAAGTGATGCAACAGTCTAAAAACATCTTTCAGAAATATAGACAGTACTTTTAATTCCTTTTCAAATGAAGATGTTACATTAAAAATATTTTTGTACTTTATTATTTTGAATGCATAACATTTACTTGCAATGGAGTATTTTTACATTGGATCTTAACACCAATGAAAAACACTATTACAAGTAAAAATGCTGAATTCAAAGTTTTTAATAAAGTAAAAGTGTTACCAGCAAAGTAAAAAGCACACATTATGCAGAGAAATGTCCCTTGTCAGTGTTATTATAGACATAATTTATCTTTACTGGTACATTTACAGTATCTATGCACTTCGTCAAGGAGGAGCTCTAGCTTCTGTATATACTGATGATATTTTAATCTACAACAGTACATAATTTTTCTTGAGCTCATAGGTGGGTTAGTGTGTAAAATGTTACTTTGCAAAGTAACAGTAGCTGTCATAAAAATATTGTGGGATAAATAGTACAGTATTTCCCTCTCAAACATAGTAAAGTAGAAACAAAAAGCAACACACAGGATGATTCCAGCTTGTTTGTGGCTGAACATGCTCTCATGCTTCAACTAATAATTTGTCTGTGAAAACCTGTAACCTACAGTACATTCACTGACCACTTTATTGTGTTCACCTGTACAATGCAGTATTCAGTACAACACTTCCACCTTAACATTTGTGTTTATGAAGCTCAAGATGTTTCAGTGTTTGTTGAAACATGTAGTCCAGTACATCACCACCTTTAACTATGACCTCAATAATAAACAGATAATTGAATTTATGCATTCATGAAAATTTCACCGAAAACTGAAACAACTTTAGCTTCATAAACACAGATGTTAAGGTGGGAGTGTTGCATGGAAGTGCATACAGTTGCATTGTACCTAATAAAGTGGCCGGTCAGCATATACAGTATGTCACTACAACTTACAGCACAGTGTCAGCTTACACAGCTTTCCTGTTTGCCAACTTTCAACCTACTAATGTTCTTTCACCTTTCCTTTCTGGTGGCCCTGTAGTTCACAGAAGTGATTACACGTATAGAGGAGGGTATCACTACCACTACCAGCCACCAAGGATCCCTCCACCGGTAGTGTATCAACCTATCCTTGTATCTCCTCCACTGACTCACCACAGACCCTCAGTCCACATGCCGCCCTATCACCACAGGTTCACAGGGCCTGTGCCACCACAAATGCCCCACATATACAAAGATCTATCTCCACCT